GAATTTCACTGCGCTCCGAGTTTTGCCGAGCCTGGGTACCACTCCGTTTTCTTTCTTTTTTTTTTTTTTTCTTTTTTTTTTTTATAAACACACCTTATTATTTTTATATTCCTCAAACACAATCGAGGCCGGGGACCTCACAATCCAACCCGGAGTTATCCCGGGCAGCATCAGCCGGTTTCGCTGATAGCAGTAAACACTTTTCTTTTCCTGTGTCTTCCATACTGTCGTTTACTCACAATATCTGGTCCTAGCCTACCTTTGTCCTCTACCACTACTACTGGGCCTACCTCGACCCTGGGACTACTGCGGCCCATTGGAACCTGTCCGCCTATAGTGACACTCTCCTACTTGGTCCACTGTGACCCTATCAAACCGAGTGCCCTGGTAATTGGATCACCTAACTACCTAACTTCCTTACTACCTTACTACTTTCAGCATTTTAACTCCCTGCCCTCTTTCCTTTCCAAATGTCTAATCTCCCGTGTTGTGCAGTTCGAGAAGCCATTTAGATAAGGAGAGACCTGTATCCGGCTGTACTGTTGCCAGCTTTCCCTGCCTTGCCCAGTTTTTTTTGAACCACTTGAGTTGGTTCCTGGATCCTTTTCCCCGCTTTGCCACTCTTCTCCAATCCGCTCGGATCGCTGTTTTAACCGCTTTTTTAAACCTCCCTTTTAACTCTACATCCGACATAGGCCTCTTCTCGGACCGAGCTCTGTTTCTGTCTGCCCAGATGATCTCTATTATTATACCTCTGATTACATGCGCTATGTACCCAGTGCCCCCTTTCCCGCATAGTTCTGACGGTAGAAACCCCAGCAATACCCATCTCTCCTCCCATTCCAACCCCCTACCGCCCGTTCTGTTCCAGTGGTACTCCCACCACTTCCACAGTCGCTTGGAGGCTGGACACTCCCACCAGAGGTGTCCGGTTGATTCGAATGGCCAGTTACACCGACTGCAGCCCAACTCCACCAGCATACGTCTGCTCACTAACCAAACTGCTGATAACATCCAAATCAGACTGACTTGCTTTCCATTTGGTAATCTGGTCAAGGTTTTCCGTAGTTGATTGAACTTGGACTCTGCCTCTGGGATCTCTTCTCCCAGCATTGTTTCCCATCTATGCTTTGCTATCGATGCTGGAGCCCTTCTCCCTGTTCTCACTGCCTTGTACCCTTCTTTTACTGTGTATTGTGACAGGTTGAGATTGTCCCTGTGTCCCTTCCCTTTTCCAGCTCCAGGCTAACGGGTCGATATTCAGTTCCTGTAGTGGGACTCCCCCTATCCGTTTCAGGATCCTTGTTCTCCTGCTTTGCTTTTGCATTTCGACCACTCTTATCTGACTGGGGTTATTCCACAGCCTTATGGTCTCTTCCCCTTCTCTGCTTAGCGTGTTAGTGTGTTCCACCACTCTCCACCTTTCCACTTTCCTGAACCCGCTTGGCTGGGTCTCCACCAGTTTCCACACCGTCTCTGTGTTATTCTCATCTTTCGCCTTGTACCAGGTTCCAGGGGGGTCTACCCCTTCCGGACCTAGTATATCCTTCCAGTCCTCTGGGATTGCGTTTAATACTGTTCTCCAGTGCTCTTCCACTCGGTGCAAACCTGCCAGTTCATCCTTGATTTCAGATATCGACTTCCAGCCCCCCAGCATCGGTGACCACAAATCCCTGATGCGTACCACTCCCCTCCTTATCCACGCTTGCCCGAATGATGATGCAACTCCGTTGGCTGCCAGATCTCCCCATTCAGATCCTTGATCCTTGGGTTCTCAAATAGGATCTGCATCAAGACCTCTTCCTTTGTGTGTGGCTGGTTCTGCACCTCTGGGGGGAGCTTTCTCCAAGCTCTGCAGATGGCATCCCAGAAGGTTGAAGACTGTTTCTTCTTGCAGAAGGACGGTATAAAAAAACAGGCCCAGACGTCTTCCGCCCGTGTAAGCTTCCAATTCTTCATCAATATTCTTTCTGCAAGTATGATCCAGTGCTCCTTCGGGTCTGAGACTGCTACTCTGCATACCCATGTGCGCAGTTGTACTTGGTTCCTTGAAGTTGGGTCTATCAGTCCTAGTCCCCCTTGTTCTCTAGAGAAGGTCAACGTCTCCCAGGCCACTTTGGTCAGGAATCCTTCCGATTGTTTTGCTGCTGGTTTCCATAGGAAGCGTGCAATCAGTCTGCGAATAACAGTCACGACACTCTGTGCGACTTCTCGCACTTGACATACAAACCACAGAATGGACATAAGTGACATATTCGCCACCAAGGCTCTACCCATAATGGACAAGTGCCATGCGTGCCCCCAAAGGTTGAGTCTAGTTGCGATTCTGTGCTGCAGTAGTGTCCCTTGTGTCGTTTCCTGTATTTCTAGACTAATTAGTACACCCAAAAATCTCTCCTCCTCCCCTTCCTCTACCCTCCGCATCCCCCATTCCACTTGCAGTTTGTACTCCTTTGGCAGTAGGTACGTTGATTTGGACCAGTTAACCGATGCCTCCGACAGTGTCGAGTAAGCTGCCATCGCCTCCTCTAACTTGGCTAGCGACGTTTCTGAATTCTCGCAGACTACGAACAAGTCATCCACGAGGGCCTTCAAGTTTACTATACATGTTGCATCCTCCCGAAGGTGCAGGCCTCTAATATCCGGATGTCTTCTGATCCTGTTGAGTAGGACCTCCATCTGTAGTACGAACAGTAGTGGAGCGAGTGGGCAGCCTTGTCTTAGGGACCTTGTTAACTTGAAGGGGCGGGACAGGTGTCCATTGAGTGCTACCGACGCCGTAGAGAAGGTGTACATTGCAATCACCCATTTGCAAAAACCTCCCCCGAAGCCCATGTGTCGCAGTGTCGTAAGTACGAAGGTCCATCCCACCTTGTCGTAGGTCTTTTCTAGGTCTAGCAAGAGTACTGCTACATCCAAGTTTTCGGACTGTACCACCTCCAACACTTCAATGACAGTCACTATGTTGTTGAAAATTGATCTCTCGTGCACAAACGCTCCTTGGTCCCCTTGGACCAAGCCTGGAACGTGTCTAGCTACAGTTTTCCCCCGAACAAAACGCACATATGTACTATTCAACTTTCCCTGGAAAAGTCAATTTCTCAAAGTCGGCCCCTGAAATCCAAATAGTACGCACATTGAAATAGTACGCACGTATGTTCTATTTGAATGGTACACACATATGTTCTATTCAAACAGACGGGTGTTCTATTCAAATAGAACACATGCTTCTCGTCTCTCTCTCTCTCTCTCTCTCTCTCTCTCTCTCTCTCTCTCTCTCACACTCTCTCTCTCTCTCACTCTCACTCACACACACACACACACACACACACACACACACACACACACACACACACACACACACACACACACACACACACCAAGCTGCCCTATCGCTCCCGCCTTCTCAGTCCCTCCCGATTGCTCCCACCTGGTTTCTTGACGGGCTGTTGTGTTTTTTCTTTTTTATTTTCTTGTCTTTTTACATGTGGACTATTTCTGGATTATGTTTGTCACCCTTGCTCAGAGGCCATGCTAATCCCAAAGGATAAGTACGGATTCAGGGTACTAATTTTTTTGGGGCCCCATTTTTCGAAAGTTGGTACCCTGTATCCGTAGCATAACACATGTGCGTTATATTTGAATAGAACGCACCCCGTGCGTTCTATTCGTAATTAACGAACGTGCGTTTTGTTCGGGGGAAAACTGTAGTCTTCTCGCCAACGTCTTTGCTAGCACCTTGTAGGATACGTTGACTAACGATATCGGCCTCCAGTTTATCACATCCGCCTTGTCGCCCTTCTTGAATAACATTGTGATGACGCCATGAGTCATTGATTCCCCCAACCTTCCTCCTGATAATACCTCGTTGTAAACCCTTACGAGCGCAGGTCCCACCATTGGCCAGCTCTTGAAGTTAATTCCACTGTGAGTCCGTCTCTCCCCGACGACTTCCCTTTTGCCATAGACCGTAGTGTCTCCGTAGTTTCTTTTAGCGTTACTGGTCTCTCCAAGTCCAGTCTAGCTGTAGCAGATAGCCTGGCCGCTGTGCTCTCCCACATATCTGATTCCATCGTGAGATCGGTATTGACTTCGTCTTGCGGTCTCCTGGTTGTCAGCATATCTCGGTAGTAGACCCTCGCGTAGTCCA